AAAAAAAAAAAAAAAAAGAATATTACAAATCCTTGTTTTGCATTATTAATTTAGCATTCATTACAGTTTTATTGTAAAAATTAAATAAACAAGCTACAACTTTATTACACCTAAAAGCTGGTGAGGCTTCTCCTTCTGAAGGATGTCATGCTTGTCATCAGACCCCTCCCCTATGGCCAAGCAGATATTTAGGCACACCTGAGGGACCAAATCTGGGGTAAAGCTACCTTTCTGCAGGGGTGACCATGGCTGCTCTTAGCCCAGCAGATAACACATTCAGGGCAAACCTATTTCATGTGGGCCTGCCAGGCCCTGCCCCAAGCAAGCCAGCCCCAAGGCCCTGGGCATCAAGGCAGCCAGAGCCAGAGCTGTCTCTTCCATGCTCACCTGCCAGAAGACCGACTACCTGTTTTGCCAATGTCAGCTCTGAAAACCCCTTGGTTCTGAACAAACTGGCCAGTAGGTCCCTCTGTATGAGCAGCAGCACAGCATTGCCTCCACATACAAGTGGGCAGTGCAGGGAGAACAAGCTTGCAGCAGTGCAAGCCCCACTCTGTGTGAGAGAACCAGCCACACACGAGCCACCACACGAGCCAAGAAAGAAGGGCAATAGAGTATTTTTGCTTCAGAAACTTGAGCCATCTAAGGCTGATGATATCCTCTCTCCTCCAGCAGTGTCTGGTTCCGAGTTTTGACCATCCTGGGCTCTCTCATTCTACCTGATCTCTGCAGAGGGGTGTGATAGGTGGATATGCAGGATTCAAAGATCCATAATCTTTTTAACTATCCTCTCCTCCTAGACTTCTATACCTGACCCTTTCTGACAGATGAAAGTCCTGCAGAGGACCTAGGGCCACCATGTAGCCCTGAGGCCCATGCCCAGCTGGCCCCCATCACGGGCATCAGGGTGCTCTGCCTCTCCAAACCCTGTCAAACACTCCTGCCCTAAGAGGCCCAGAAGGGCCAGCAAACATGCCCTGGACAGGACACCCAAGACTCAAACTGCCATAGGTGTTGATGTGCAGGGTATGAGAACTTCCATAAAAGGTAATGTTGGCATTGATCAGTTTGTTGACCAGTTAGTGAAAAGGGAATCTAGAAAGGAATTTTTTTTAATTATACAATACAGGAAAATCCCAATTCTGCAAAGCAATAAAGGAGCCAGCATGACCTGACGTACTTCATCAGCTCAGGGTCCTCCTTGTCATCCTTGGTGGGGGCCACCTTTACTCCACTTTTCTTGGCACGAGGGCAGCCTGACAAGCTGGTTTCAAAAGAGAAAAATAGGTCACCTTAGTCCCAGAATGGCAGCTCCTCACACCCACCCATCTCATGGACTCCTCTCTAGTTCTGTGACCCCAGGGCAGGAGGGAGGGAGTGAAGGCAGATCAACTGAACTAACCCTAGCCCTAACACTATAACTTTGTCTAAGGAAGAGCTCCCTCCCACCTCAAGGGCCCAGGCTCACCTCCGATGAGAAGCATAGTTCCCTGTTATGTGGCCAGAGCCATCACAGCCAGGTGTGGGGCACCTGTGAAGGAAAGCAGAGCTGAGACCAGAGCTCATAAAGAAGCCTAGCCTCGGTCCAGAGACCTGGGACCCCCGGAAGATGACCTGGGCATGTCCTCAAGTGTATCTACCCCACCGTGCCCAGACTGGGGTCTTTAGCACTCCTCCACATAGGAGCACACCAAAGCTGGCCTCCCTTGCCCCTGGCAAGTGTCTGACAGGGTGGACACAGGGCTGCAGCGCTTTGCCCTTGGTTTCCAGAGTCAGGGAGGTTGAGAGGAGACCGACTAACTGCTCCTTAATACCTGTTGGGCACCCAGATACCACACCTGCTGGGTCCACTGCATCCAGATGGAATGATGAGCTCCCAGCTCAGTCTTCTATAGGGCTAGGCTGGACTAGAAGCATCCAGAACCCATCCAAGCCATAAGTGCTCAGGAAGGCAAATGTAACACCTCAGACCAGTTCACTCTCCTGGATGGGCTGAGAGAGCAGCCACCACAGCTGAGTACACGGCAGCGCTTGCTGAGCACCTGCTACATGGCAGACAGTGCTGGCCACTCCAGGCCTGGTGCTTGTGTAGTGTGAGTGCAGAATTCACATAGCCAGTGGCTTTTGCAGAGTGGCACGAGCCAGCAGAGGATAAGGATGGTAAATACAAAAGATGAAAAGTCCAACTTTATACACCCTAAAATGTTTGATGAATGTACCACATAATGCGGTTTTTTAAAACTCCACTTTGGGAGGGAGAGGGGAAGGGTCAATAGAAGGAGGGTTAGTAGGGGGACCACACCTACAGAGCATATTGCAAATACAAGTTGGGTCTATCAGGTGTAGAACACAAATCTCTTAACGCTGTAATCGGGTAAATGAAGTGAAGGCTATGTTGATTAGTAGGATGTAAACACTCCAATTTGTACAAATAATCAACATATTGAATCCCATAATGGCATAAATGTATTCATGATCTATGTACAAATGACTTAATAAAAAAATAAAAACTCCACTTTAATATTACAAGCATGGACTTCTGAAATTATTTCTCCTGAATATGCCCTGAAGAAAAGCAGATGAGGTCCTCCTGGTGTCTGTGGATGAGAGAGCAGCCCTGTCCTGGAAGCTAATCTGCCATGTTGACAGAAGGGTGAACCCCAGTTCTGGGGAAGCCTCAAATTTCTATTTTACCTAATATTGCCTTAAATCAAGTCAACATTGACCATAAATCCTGCCTTTAGGCAGAGTCATGTAGCAAGTTATCTTGTCCTGTCCACACCTTCCCTGTGGTCGAAAAGCCCTGGTTCTGGGCGGAATGGTGCTGGGATCCACCAACTCATCCCCTCCCACATTGCCTGAAAGTTTCTTTCCAAGAAACTGAGTATGTCAGCCTCTTTCTCTGGCCTGTCAGTTTCCCCAGACTTTGGGGGTAGGTTTGGATAGACCTGCCCACTGCAGAACAGTGTTGGAGAGGAAGTGACCTGATTCTGCAGGTGGACTCAGCCTGTCCAGCCAGCTGCTCTGTGCCTTGCACTGAGGAGGCTCCAGACAAGGATTTGGTGTCTGTGTCTAGAGAGCCTATTACAGAGCCCTTACCCATGGCTCTTAGGCCCCAGTAAAGACCCCTCATTTTCTGTGCTATGACCATGACCCACCCTTGCCAGAGTCTCCCACCAATACATGTGGTTTCTGGAGTAGACAACTTGCTCGAAGGACAGAAGAAGCCAGGCACAGCCTGGCACCCAAAGGACTCGTGGGCAGGGCTGGCCCCACCTCCTGCAACCTTCTCTATGGGCCCTTGGATTTCTCACAGGGCACTCTCTTAGGGTGCCTTGGGTCCTCTCATCCTTGCCCTGTGGGTCACATATCAGACCCTCCAAGGCCAACTTGTCAAATTATTCTCCAGTCTCTATGAGACCACACAGTGGGGCACTGTGCCTTCCATCCATGGGGACATATTGCCAACAGGATGCCCCTACTCTCCAGAAGGCTAAGTCCAGAGAACTGAGGACAGCCTGTCACTCCTTCCTGGACTGGCAGCTATTTGGGGGGGACACCTGGGTCACCCACTCCTTGTCTCAGAGGCAGATAAGCATCTGGCAGCACTCAGGTCCAGTGCTATGGGCAGTGGCCACTTAGGTGGCTGGGTGACAGACCCACAGCAGCCCCAGGCCTCAGTGGGGACAAGCAAAGCTCTGGGCTGACACCAGTGGTGATGAGGACACACTTCAATGGCACTGTGAGTGGGTCTCCAGTGCAAGTGACTCCCACGAAGTCAGCAGGTACCTGACACAGAGGTGGGGCCACCTAGGACTCTTCACTAAGACCCAGGTCAATATCTTTTCTCCACAGTCACATCCAAGAAAGGGCAGTGGTCATGTGCTCAGAGGAGCAAGGGTCCTCCTAGGTGCTCCTTATGGCCCTGTGGACCCACAGAGTCAGCTCCAGGAATCCCGGGCCACCTCCCTGCACCTGCTCTAAGCACCTGGTCTGGCAGAAGGAACTGCAGTGTCTGATCACCAAGCTCCATCCCTCTGCCACAGGGACACCCCTCACCCTGTGCAGAGCCTACCTGGCAGATGAGCCATCACACCCCAACTCCCTACACATGGAGAGTGAGTGGCCTGAACCAGCTGTGTCCTCTTAGCCCTATGTCTCCAGCCCCTGACCACACCAAGCATATGGAAGGTAAGAGCAAATACCCTTGGGATTCCCTTAAAACACAGAAAACACATCATCCAAGACTATCGCTGCATCCTGGTTCAGAGAGAAAGGAGGGAGAGCAGGGCATGTTTGCACATACGGCACATGATGGTAGTGGCCTCCTGTCATCCTAAGCCTCTGAGGGAGGCAGGGTGGTGGCCTCCTTGAGAGCTTCAGAGGGAGTCAGGATGCCTCTGCTATGCCCAGACCTTGCTGAGACAGATGAGGTATTGGCTTTCGCATAAGGAAGACCTTTGTTGCTATTTCTGAAGGATTTTGAGTTGTTGAAGTTCTTCACAGACTCTTAGTCTCAAAAATGCGCTACCCTCCCAGACAGCTTCTCCAGGCATTTATCACGCTGAGTCCATTTCTCTCAGCCCTGAGCCCTCTGCTAGGCACGACAAAAGGACACCACTACGCACGCAGCCACATCTCATGCTCTCAAGCTACTTAGGCCCTCAAATTGGAAACCATGGAAACTGATCATAGAAAAGAAAGCAGAACTGGAAAAGAAAAAAGAAAAAAGGAATACAAGAAAAAGGCAGAAGGAAAGAGAGAAAGAAGCATCTCTGAAGCTGCGGGACCATTTCAACTCTGGGTTTCTGGGGCCAGACATGTGAGGCAGAATGAACAATAAGCAAACATGTGAATCTGCAGCAGTGACCTGAGCCTCAAAAAATGTTTGTGGGGAAGCTGCCAACTTCTAGAAAGAAAAATGAGATCTGAGCCCCTCCCCATCCATGTCTGTGGGAACAGAGGGGCCACAATGGTCTCTACAAGGAGACTGAGTCAAGGCTGCCACAGGGCCTATGGGAGACCTAAAGCTTTCTGTCCTCCAGGACAGCTCAGTTTTCTTCTTCTTCTTCTTCTTCTTCTTCTCCTTCTCCCTCTCCTTCTCCTTCTCCTTCTCCCTCTCCTTCTCCCTCTCCTTCTCCCTCTCCTTCTTCTCCTTCTCCCTCTCCTTCTCCCTCTCCTTCTTCTCCTTCTCCCTCTCCTTCTCCCTCTCCTTCTTCTCCTTCTCCCTCTCCTTCTCCTTCTCCTTCTTCTCCTTCTCCCTCTCCTTCTCCTTCTCCT